TATATCGAAAGATAATATCGTGTGTATTTTTTACAAGATGATGTACATTGCCTATATACAGAGTACTAAGCCTAGAACTAAGGAAACAAACTAATCACAATCACTAGAATTGAGGAACAAACTAATCATATTAACCAAAAGATATTGACTTAACATATTTGGCTAATACTTTTTATTAAGTCTTGAAATTTAATAATTTGATGAGTAAAAATTGCATAATACATTGAAAATTTGACCGATGGATACATAAAGACAAGAATGAGATGAAGAAATAAGTTAGGTTAAAATTGCATAATACAATGAAAATTTGAGTAACAAATGCATACATAAAATAATGGGATACAGAAATACAATGACACACAAAAATATTGATATATTTGATCTAAATGATTAACATCAAATGACTTTGCTTAAATATTTGTCGAGTAATTTGTCAACAATTACTTGATAAGCTCTTTCAGTCGGATGGTAGCTGTCCCAAAATATATATGCCGAAGAATTTGAACATGTGAATGGATTTAGTGAGTTGCACATATAAGATATTGCAAGAGAGCCTATACCGCAACATCCTCTATCAGCTACCACAAAACCTGAAAGATAATGAGAATTTAGTTTATGTCATGTAATACAAATGAAAAAATCGTATAAATATATTTGTAAGATGAACTTACCGTATCTTTTAGGATGTTGGATCATGTCGAAAAGAGTATCATAAACATCAATATAGAGGATAATACCATCCAATTCTTTATCTAAAGAATCTAGTGCTGGAGAAAGTCTTGAGTTGAACTGTTTTGCCATGTTATTTAATGGTTTATTACATCCCCTTGTAAATATACCTCCAAACACTGTTCTTTGTAGTGGTACACATCCAACAGGCACTGCGCTAAAGACTCCAATTTTCCGAGCTCCAAGTTTGTGTAATTCCTAAGTATTATATAAAAGGCAATTATTGTTAAGATGTAATTATATTATTGCTCAATTTGTACATAAAAAAAAATGTAAAACACTTACTCTTACGAATTTGACTGCTGAGTCAGCTAAGAAATTGGCATATGAAGTACGATCATATCTATGAGATTGAGCTAAATAAGTGTGAGCAAGGTCATTGCTACTAGAAACCACAACAAAAAAACTATTGTCCAAGATATTTTGGGCTTTTTCTTCTCCAAAATTTTTCTTGATCTTTGATATATACTCTTTGAAATATGTTAGTTGATCCCACACCGAAATCACTGACTACAAAAATAAAAGACATAAATTGTATCACCTATAATATGAAATTAACGTTGATGATAGAAAAAAAAAGAATGTACCATAATCTTAGCTGTTAATGGATCGTAACCAGTTCCTCCAGATGCAAATGTTACACCTTTAAGAAGATCTTTGGGCTTCAAATTTCGGTTCATATATGCTGGCAATGTCTTAGCCAATCCCAATTTTTCCGCTGGGGTAATTTTTTTTTTAGAAAGTGTATTGCAATATAAAAAAATAGCTATAATTTTTATATAAGCAATTGTAAAAGTAATTCAAACAATTACCAATTAGATCAGAGGGAACTCTTCCATCAGAAAATCTTCCAGTGGCGAGGCCGCTGATAAAGTCCTTGCCGTAGGGAGGAAAGTTGCACTTTAGAAGAGTAGGGAGATTGTTGTTATTACCCGTGTCCATTATTGAATCTCCGAATACTATTAGTGCTGGGATTGTTGCATTCTTTCCTTGCTTCGTTGCATTTGTTTCAACAACTATTAATACGAAAACGAGCCATAACATGTGAAGCTTCATGTTTTGACTCTTGATTGATTTATTTACTTTTATGCTCGAGATTCGCTTGTGTTTTACAAATTTGAAAAGTGCATCTATATATATATTGGTTCAATTTGTTGGACTTCTAAAAATATATATTTTGAACAGTAGTTGTTACACCCGATACTATCTCTAATTAGTTATGGACTTTGATTATGGTTTCAAAGACAACCGAAAATTCATTGTTATTCCTTACCAATAAATGGTAATTAATTGTTTTTCACAACTTGACTATACTATGTTTGGGGTTTACACTATTGTCACAAATGTAACCGCAAATTTATTAAAACATAAAAAAATTAAGTCACACTTGAATATGATATCTAATATTATATGGAGTATATGGTAGATAAACTATATAAGATATAATTCCAGTAATGATAGTTAAATTCATAAGTATTTGATTCATTATTATGTTCATTGTTCCATTAGTTTCGATGAAGTTTAATTTTCTTAAGAATCTTATTAGTTAGATCAAGAATGGCAGCAAGACCGGCCATGATCTAAAGCACATTAAGCTGGTGGTCCAAGGACGCATTAATGGCTTAGAGGTGTAGGGCTTGAATTGTAGTTGTGTTGTTTTAGAGAATTGTTTTTAAAGTATGTTTGTTATTGAGCTTACGTTTTTTTTGTTTGGCTTGAGGCATCAAATCTCTACGTGACGGGCCTGAATGGCAAGATTAGAGGGCTCGAGAAGGCAGCGCTGTTCACATCTCCAATGCGATTTCTGGTTTCTTCGGTATTCAAAGACATGAAAATCACCCAAAGTTATCAATCTTCTTAAACAAAAATTTGTAATTATTGAAATAATCATCAAGAGAAATTTCAAAAAAATGCCACTTTTCAAGTGNCACTTTACAAAAATGCCACTTTTTTACAATCTTTACAAAAATACCACTTTTAAAAAATTATTTATTCATTATGTCATTTATATTTGAGTTAACTATGTTGTATTAGGGTTTAGTTTTGAGGGTTTAAGGGGTTTTAGTGGTCACAAATTTTTTTAGGGTTTAGAATTTCAAGATTTAGGCTCTAAAAAATCATAATTAGTGACATTTTTGCAAATGTGGACACCAAAAATAACATTTTTGCAAATATGGACACAAAAGTGGCATTTTTGTAAATGTCTCAATAATCAATGACAAAGTCACTCGTTAGCAATCTTTATTAATTTATTCGTATACAATTTTTATGTCAAATCGATAAGTTTTGAAACGAAACTCATATTTTCCCAACGTAACGTAGTTACAAAATCTTTTTCAAACGGGTATTGAACTAGAAGCCGAGATGTGCAACTTCATTTAGAACTAAGAGCATGTCCATTGAGGGTTTCTCAATTGAGTTCTCAAAATACTATAAAATATTAATATGGTTATTTTATTAAAAAAATATGATTTAAATATTTATGGATATCTCAAAATTTGAGAAATCCACTCAAAAATCTCTTATTTGAGAAATTTTTGAGTGAGTTTCTCAAATTTTGAGATACTTATAAA